AAGACTCTTTATTGCGCTTGATGCGTTTTATAGCAGCAGTAGCTTTTGAGAAGTCTCTTTCCAGAGCACCACAGAACTTATGCCAGGACTTGCGCTTAGCAGACTGTACCAAAGAGCGAAAACGGCGATGAGCTTGCTTGTATAAGACCCAACAATCAATCTTAGTATACCCAAGGGCATACCGCCATCGACTGTAGAGACGATCCCGTTCAGTAGCCGCGTCTTGGATCTCTTGCGTCCAGTATTTCTTCCAATGGCCAGGACGGCCAGACTTCACACCTATTGAGCTATCCAAACATTCATACAAACATTGGTTCAAAGAACCGTTGAGTGCATCAATGTCGGGACGAGTACCAGGAGGAGCAGACACCAAACCAGAGAGAGTAACAACCAGAGGAGCAACAGAAGATCGAAAGGATTCACGGAGTAGGCCCAAAGGCCTCTCTTTCGTCAATTTCGAGAGCTTCCATTGCCGCCGAGGAGCCAGAACAGAATCACCAGGAGCCACAGTGTCATCGAGAGGTGGCACATACCCGAAAGTAAGTGACATCAATCGATGGTCAGAACCAAGAGACAGATCAGACTCAACCACCAGTTGAGGGTTCACCAAAGCAACATCACCAATATTTGTCAGAAACAAATCGATAATACTACTCAATTCTTGCTGCTGCCGAAAAGAAGAGTAAGTCTTGACACCAAAAGCCAAAGACGCATTAAGCACAGATAAGCAATGTTCGTCAAACCAAGGTTTGAGAGCATTACCACGAGCATTGGAGATAGCATCACCAGTCAGAGGACCCAACCAAGCATTGAAATCACCGCAGAGAATAGTATCCCTAGTCATAGGTAATGAGCTGAGGGCCGAGAGCACCTTATCAGAGGATAAGGGTGGAGGAAAGTAAACACAATGAACCGTTAGGGTGCCAACCTTGAGAGACAGAGTGTGCGGATTGTATGAAGGGAGTTGGAAGACCGTAAAGGGGCAAGAAGGAGAGACAAAAGCAGTGATACCACCAGAACCACGGTTGAAAGCACCAGGTACTTTTGAACCATACAAGTGGTATTGAGACCAGTCAATCGGATAGGAACCAGAAGTGAGCCAAGTTTCAGTGACAAACAGAACATGAGTATCAACAATATGAGAAATAACATCATGAACTGTTGTTTGACGAAGACCATTCGCATTCCAAAGAGAGAGAGAGACAAAAACCGGGGGGACAGACACATTATTCAAATTACCAGACCATGATTCATTGTTAAGAGACATTAGATCTCCATTTCAGAATCAGTAGAAGTATCACGGCGACGCTTGAACAAGAAAGCAGCCTTTTTAGGGTCCTTTTCCTTTAGTCGGTCCATAGCACCAGCAACAGCCTCGTCCAGTTCGGCTTGACCTATCCATCCAAGATCCAGGAACCAACGGCCAACACTACTCACATTAAGTGGGCGGATGTGGGACAGAGCATCTACGCTGCGAGCATTGACCATCTCAGCAATGAGATCCATTCGATCGTGTTCAGAGTAGGCATCGTATTGTGGGTCGGCAATATTAGCAGGATTCAACGGGTCAAAATCCTCCAATATTTCCGATTCACTTGCACGGAGCAGAGCCAAGAATTCAGCAACATATTGGGTATGCAAGAGAATACCAATAGCTTCGGAGGCAGGGAAGTTGATGTCGAGGATACGAGACGTATCCACCCCAATGGCCTTGAGAGTGCGTCGAATTTCAGAGCGTAAGATCTTGCCAGATCTACCAATATATACATATTGGTATCCTTGGGGACCCTTAGCAGCAGACGTTTTGAAGAGACGACCAGCAGCCAACTTTCTCTTAGTAGCTTTAGTTGGATCAGGGCGATGTGCAGCCTTCTTAGCTATAGCAGAATAGCTAATAGTACCAGAATCAGTGGTGGCAGTAGCAGAGGTGGTGGATCCAGATGCCCCCTTGATGGGGGTGCTTGTAACAGAATCCTGTGACGTGGCTTGCAATTTTTCAATGACCAGATCCTTGTCGTGTAAAATTTTTTTCAAGGCTTGGTTTTCCTTTTCCAAAGCATCGAGACGAGCCAAAATACCATCATGTTGATTAACACGTTCAGAAAGAGAGGCAAGTTGTTGCTGTAACTGTTGCATGATAACAGTAACCTGATTCATATCAGTTGGGTGCTGAAACTCGGGCATATTGCTGATTATTTTTTTAGAAATTGTTGAAGATCCAAAAAAATATGAAGGAGATGTTCAATAAACTTGAAACTATAACACAATAGACAGAGACTAAAGGCAAGTATACTGGTATAGTTTTGGAGTTGATTGAATTGCTGATTGTTGGGAAAATAGCGTTTTTCGTGATTCTAAGGAGACTTTTTACGGAGAGGGTGGCAAAAAGTGATGAAAAACGGAAAGAGATGCTCGTTTAGCTCAGTTGGTTAGAGCGTGGTGCTAATAACGCCAAGGTCAACAGTTCGACCCTGTTAATGAGCAATTTTTTTTGTTAAATTTTGAAATAGCAGTGTGTGTAGTAGTGTTACAAAATGGCTCAATGCAGTGTGAATAGTAAGAGTGATAATAGAGTAAGTATATAGATAAATAGCCAAAGCAGATTCGTCTATAGAAATGAGCACCAGGTTTATAGTTGTCCAGCTAGTAAGGAATATGAAAGCAAAGAAAGAGATGTGTAAATAAAGTGATAATAGTAGATAGAGTACAATGAATCAATGCGTTAATGTATACAAAGGATTCAAGGGATCTTATATTTGATAAGTTCAATGAAATAACAAAGTTAAGGAGCTATAGAGCTATATAGATATAATTTTCAAGTAGGAATAAGATAAGATCTTATTGTTTGATATCATTTGAATATTTATATTAAATTGATTCTATGAATTATATGTCCTGAATTCTGTTTCTATATGCTATAGTTTGTAATGAAGGACTGACCCTTCTATAATTGATTTTGATACCCTTAATAATCCTAAAAGCTTGAACAGTTTTTATAGCTGGAAAGCTATATTTGTTGTTGAAATATGGTGAGTGATGATATTGATAATGTTACTAGAGGATGAAAGGATGGGTAATGTGGAGTTGCTTCCCATTTGTGTGCTTCCATTAGGAAAGAGAGATGTTTAAGAGTTTGAATATATATCTGTCAAAATGATACGAGGCTGAGTGGTAACTGATTTGTCATTCTTGAGATAGGATTCAGAGTATATTCGAATATAAGAAGCATTTAAGAGTTTAATGTCAATTAGTAGAAACAGAAGTAGAATCCAATATAGTAAGCAGCGAAACGTAGTTTATACGATAGTGTAGGCAATTTACAACAAAAAAAGAGAGATTCAGTTACAAAACCAAAATCGATTTGTAACAGCAGTCTTATTTTCCAGCTGTGTGAACTGCAAATGCTTTCTTCTTGTCTCGGTATCCCTGTGATGAAGGCTCCATAGGCGCACTTGTAAACTGTACTGATCAAGCAATGATTTTTACGACACAACTTTTAGATAAACTATTTCTGACGCTTGGCATCCTTTGCTGTGAAGGGCTTACCTACCTAGCTGTGGATGAACATGAATTCGAGAGCATCTGGGAGTTTAGGAAGGAACGCAGAATATGGCATTATACGAGAACTTTGCTAAACCTACGCCCCACCGCATCTCTTTTCACCATCATTACTATAAGATGCACACAACATTTAATTCAGAAATCAAGTCAATCATTATTTCTTTTGCAGCCATCAAGGCCAAGGAATAAAAGTTGCAATTAGACATGGCTACCTATGATAATAAGTACAAACAAGGCATATTGATGCTTTTTAGTAAAGGCTCCATCACAACATTGCAACTATTTGAAAAGAGAACGGGACACAGGTTCAAATATCAACGGTAGCAAATCTTGTTTCTTAACCTTGAGCTTTATCGCCTAACGTTTCCGGGTGTCTCAACCAAGGCCATGATGCTGTACAGTATCTATTTCATCATGAATGTCAATTTTCAGCTCATATTCACGTAACACGGAAGCCTTCTCGATATTCTTTGAGTACCATACTCTTGATTTACTAGTACGCTTTCAAAATTTGTGGCATCGAAAACTCGAGTAGTCCATCACAGTGATATTTGATATGTCAGTATATAATGGCAAATGCAAGATTCACGCTTTTGTTTCACATGAGTAAAGAAAGCCGGTATTATTGGCTCTTGAAGAATCTGCATGTGTCGTTATTCATCAATCTTGTTTGCTAGTATCTTTAGATGCGTATGAGGTACGAATGTCGCACTAAATGATGATACAAGGTTTGAGGACAAGAACTTACTGTTAAAGGACAATCTGAGCTAAATGAATCAGAGATGGTATGATATGACTATAAACAGCAATTGCCCTGTAAAACCACTTCACTGTTCTACTACCGTTTGGATCTGTGAGGGGCACTGCTGCATCTCAGATGCGACGCTGGAAATTTACAGAAAATCGGGTATCGAATGCTAGCACAAGGCCAATTAGAAGAAATTACGATTTATCGCCGGGATTTCTTTACTCATTCGCACGTGCGTCCCCAAAGCTCCCTGCGAGTATAGCTACTAGTAGCAGAAATTACAAAAAAATTGATAGATCAAGGTTTACAGGTGGGACAAGATGAGCAAATATTATTATAGGTCCTCAAGAAGTAACAGACAAAAGCATATGATAAAATTATTGATCTCAAGTTGGAAAAATTAGCATAAATGCTGAAAACGTGCATGATATCATTTGTTGTGAGAAAAAAAGCAGGTTCCTTATAATAATTGATTGATAGTCTGAGACATTTGACCTAAATGTCCAGGTTACATCAGATCATCAGAAGGTAAATAAATTCCAGAATGGGGAAAAATATATATAAAAGAACAGATTCATAGGTCACATCTTTTAGCTGTTTCTTCTCCTCTCTTCTCTTTCATTTATTTACTCACACCCTTACACATTTTGCACACCTACTTTTTTAAATCAATCTCAGAATACCGATACCAATGTCTGGAAGCGATACTATGATTGATGGTAATGCTCCAAAGCCCCCTGTGGACGAACGAGTAGTGGATCTTGCTCCAGATCGAGATCAAAAAGTGATTAACAGCGCCAGGCATACTGATCATAGTGCAAATGCAAGCTCAATCCATTCAGACAGTGAGGATGGACTAGTCAACAAACCCAAATCAAGAACTGCCTCCTACTTTAATGTACTGTTCAGTGGATTTGCTTTATTATCGGATGGCTATCAATCCGGTGTGATCAGTTTTGTGAATCTGTTTCTGGGCAAGATTTATGGTCCTGACGTGTTTAATGCTGATATGAAGTCTCGTCTGTCGTATGCCATGTTTGTGGGTGCTATCGTAGGTCAGCTAGGTAAAGTAATTTGAAACCTATAGATCCAGTTCGAATATTTTCTCTGACTTTCCTTGATTTTCCATCAAACACTCTTTAGGTTTCGGTCTTATCATTGATCGAGTCGGTCGTAAAATCGGGCTTGTTGCAACCACTCTGCTTGTCATCCTTGGTGCTGCTTTATCCTGTGCTTCAAGCGGAACTACAGTTGATGGCTTGCTGTGGATGATGATTATTTCAAGAGGTATCCTCGGTGTGGGTGTGGGCGGAGAATACCCATGCAGCTCTGTTTCTGCCGGTGAATCTGCTGATGAAGTAGCTCCTGGAAAGCGTGGTGGTTTGTTTGTCATGGTAGGTTTGAGCAATTAGCGGATCTGCTGGTTACTGAACGCTAAATGCTCTGTTTGTAGGTGACTAATTTTGTCATTGATCTTGGTTATGTGATTTCAGCTATTGTGCCTGTGATATTGCTTGCTATTTTCAAGGATAATTTGGAGCCTGTTTGGCGTCTCTCTCTTGGTCTTGGTATCCTACCACCATTGTCTGTACTTTATTGTAAGTCATCCATCACGTTACCCCTTTGTTACAGTGCTAATCATATAATGTCACATCAGTCCGACTCAAGATGGCAGATTCTGAAAGATATCGCACTAGCGCCATGAAAAAGAGTGTACCTTATTTGCTTATCATCAAGCGTTATTGGTTCCGTCTTCTCCTCACATCCGGCTTATGGTTCATTTATGACTTTATCTCATACCCCAATGGTGTATTTTCTTCGGTTATCATTGACAGTGTAGCTAATGGCCAGTCCACAATTGACGTCGTTGCATGGAACATCCTCTTGTATGCTTTCTACCTTCCTGGTTGTGTTGCTGGTGCCTACTCTGTTGACAAAATTGGCCGTAGAAAGACATTAGCTTTTGGTTTGCTCGCTCAAGGTATAGTTGGTATGATTTTGGGTGGTGTTTATGAACCATTATCAAAGAACTGTATGCCAATGTTCATCATCGTGTACGGTATCTTCTTGGCTTTGGGTGAATACGGTCCAGGTAAATACATAATGAATATGACATTTGAATGCTTGAGCATTGTGCTAACCTTTTGACACTAGGACCTACAATGGGTTTGAACAGTATGGAGTTATTCCCCACCGCTGTTAGAGGTACTTGTTACGGCATTGCTGCTGCTATTGGTAAAGTAGGTGCTACTGTAGGTACTCTAGCTTTCGTGCCTATGCAAGAAGCAATGGGAGGTTATCGTGGACCTTTCTTGGTTGGTAGTGGTATCGCTATTGCAGCAAGTTTTGTCGCCTGGTTTTTGCTTCCAGAGATTGGACCCGATGGTTTAGTTGAGGAAGATGCTGATTTCCGCGAGTACCTCATTGCTAATGGCTATGATATCAGTCAACTTGGTTTGAATAACCAACAGGTGGAAATTGTTCATGATAACACAAAGAACTCTACAGGGTCCGTCGATTCTACCTAGAATTAGACATTTTTTTTATATCAGTCTTTCATTCATTTCAAACCTAAATTATACATTATATTGCTTGGTCGTTCCAAGTGCAACTAAAATTCAAACTTAATCTAATAAAAAACGTTTTAAATGTGAGTACCACCTACTGTTGCTCTTTTTACAATGAACGGTATAGTGACTTTATGTTGTTGATGCTGCAGAATACCTGTGTGTCCTCCAAATGTCAGTCTTCAATCTTCTAAACTATGTGGAGTGTAACATTATCAGGTGTAAATTTTGCCTGAATAACAAATGCATAACCGAGTAAATCCCACTCTTTTCAAAATGAAATTACATAAGCTTTTTCTAATTTGAGCCCTTTACTTGCTTTCAAAAGCGTTTGCGTTACAACGCGTGGGTAACAAACAGTTTTATCGCCAACTTGTATCAATATGAAGAGCAAGAAAGACTTCCAATGTCGACCTGGAAAGATCCGTATCAGATGAGACCATCAAGATTGGCAAAGATCAAAATTGTTTCAGTCTACTAGATGAGTACACCGCTGAGACTCTCTCTGTGCAATTTTCAAAAGCAATCAAAAGGTTGGATGTAACCCAAGATATTTATTACATGAATAAAAAAAGGTCGATTTTATTTAGTCAGTTTATTGCTTTGGTGTTTACGTGCTCTTCTTTCTTCTTTCTTAATCAAACTACAATCCAAATGACGGTAAGAAATTCGAATGATTTAGCAAAAGAATTTTCAAACCCCAAGGGTTTAATAATTATCCACACTTTCCTCCCAAATAAGAAACGCACAGCTAATTTTCTTTTTCTTCCTTTCCTTGATATCAAATCTACCCACAAACTAGAGATACATGGCATTTTCAAAACTAACTGGCGTTGGATCCGAATGCGGTCCTGACAATAGTTTGAATAGTCTGGCAAAGCATTTTGGTCAAGATAGAAGCTTGCAACAGGTTAGTTATCATCTTCTTGCATAAAAGTGCAGAGAAATTTTTTCGTTGACATTGATACGGTACAGGAGCGCTATTTCCAGAAAGGAGAGGGATCAAAGGTATGTTTACAAAGCGCATTGATGCCACTGTATTCACACCCTCCAGCAGGCGTCTCCCAGTTTTAGAAGCCCTTATTCACAAAGTCCTGCAATAAGCAGCGACAATGTAAGTTACACACATTTTTCCATAGATGCAAAAAGTTTAATTCGTGCAGCAGTTGGCAAATGAGTTCTTTCAAAATGAGCAAATTGACAGAACAAATGTACCGAGCCCGTTTCAAAAGCCATCTCCTATGCATCTGGATAGTTTGCAGCATTCTGCAGAAGATTGGACCCGGGAATTCACATCAGGCAGTGCTCGCCTGTCGCAGCCTTCTTCCCCAATGCCAAATACACACGAGGAATTCGAGCAGATCTATCAAAGACACAGCAGCAGATCACCACCGATTCATTCAAAGTGGGCAGATGACTTTTCCTACATGCAGAGATCATCGACACCCTCCTCCGACGAAGAGCAATTAGCATTTCAGCGTGCCTTTGAGCAGGTAGGCGAAGGTACTCAACACCATCGGGATTGGGACAAGGAATTTGCTGATCATGAGACATGGGAGGTCACCAGCAACAAGCAAGCTATACGACAGCAACCCATGAGACCAATACGCCCTATACCAAGATCATCCTCCCATATGCTGGATGTCAAAGATTGGTCAGAGGAATTTAGTAAATACCATGATCTGACCGCTCAAGAGATGAAATCTATTTCGAAAAGCCTAGAGAATGAAGATGAATGGATTCAACGCTACCAAAAGAGCATTGACAGTAAACAATCCGAACTAAATACCGAGTGGGAAGGCTTTCAAAAGGAATGGAATCGACTTAAACCAGATGGGAAACCCTATGGATACAGAGCAATTCACCCTGAATACGAAAAATACAATTACATGACGGATAATCCCTATTTGCAATGTCAGGATGCTATTGACAGCGCCATGCATACTACATTAGCGGATGCAATTATGGCTTTAGAAGCAAAAGCTCAACTCAATCCGGAGGATGCGAAAACATGGGAGCAACTTGGACTAAAGCAGCAAGAAAATGAGCGCGATGCAGCTGCTATTACAGCATTGGAGAAGGCAGTTTCTATTGACGCCAATTGCCTTGACGCATGGTTGGCACTGGCTGTCAGTTATACCAATGAGCACTGCCGCATGGATGCCTACAATTGTCTAGAACAGTGGATCGCCAATAGCCCCAAGTACAAGCACATCTTGCAAGAGAAATTGGGTCAAAACTACACGGACGAAGTCAAGAGACACAACTATATCACGCAGCTATTTCTGGAAGCAGCACGCACAGCACCTGGCGAGGAGATGGACGCAGATGTTCAGGTTGGCTTGGGTGTCTTGTTCAACATGTCTGAAGAGTATGACAAGGCAGTGGATTGCTTCAAGGCAGCTTTGATCAGTAGACCTCACGATTACCAGCTGTGGAATAAAGTAGGCGCAACGCTGGCCAATTCTCGCGATAGCATGGGTGCTGTGGAGATGTATTTCAACGCACTGCAAATCAACCCATCCTTTGTGCGTGCACGATACAATTTAGCCATCAGTTGTATGAATATGGGACAACATCAGGAGGCGGCAGAACACTTGTTGACAGCATTGGATCTCCAACGAGCAGCAGCACTTTCAGCTGGAGAAGCAGCCAGAGCATTGGAAACTGGAGCCCCTGCTGATATACCCAATGGCACCAGTGATGGCATTTGGGACAGCCTACGATTGCTGATGTACATGTAAGTTGCGTGACTCATGCGTGCGTTATAGTTGAGTATCTCACATGTTTTTATACAGGATAAGCCGTGAAGATCTTGCTGCTCAATGCGATTACCGTAATTTAGATGCTTTTCGCGGCCAATTTGATTTCTAGACGAAAAGCGCATTATTCCAATTATACTATATTATATCTCTTGCATTGAATAGCACAACACGCATCATTTTTGTATATATAAATTATCAAAAGAAACCATTATACAGCCTGTAAACTACAAAATTTTCAATGCCACGCTTTTCATGCGCAGCAATGCGATTTAAGACGCATCTGTTTATCGTGTTTTCCAATTTAAAACTCTGTTCTCTTTTTTTTTATCATGTCTAAAAGAATCGTAATTATCACACTTATGGAGCCCTATCTAGGGTTTATATTCACTTTCTGTTCTATAGAGCAGCAAACGTAGAAAAGGCTCACCAAAGCTGTTGGGCTCTCAAAACTCGAGCATCTTGGATTTCTTCTCGCAGGCATGCCATTTATCACTGGAAACATCTATCGAATACTAACAACTACTAATGCAGGCAAAGAAGGAGCATGCTACGGAATCAAAGAAAAAGCCCAAGTTCCATCAAGGCTATTCCAGCTTTGATTCATTTTTATCTTCGCCATTTAATCAAACACAGAGAAGCAACATTACGGTGGAGGATGGGGAAGCATTGTCATTAAGCACACAAGAATCGTCGTTTGAGCTCCATTCTGATACTCAAAACAGCCATGCATGGTCTGAGGCAATATCTGAAATAGGCGACTTTGACATGGCACCATTTACATTTGATTTGGATCATATCTCAAGTAACAAGAATGCAACCCAAACAGACAGCGTAATATCCAATTTTTCTGATAATTCGCAGCTGGCCTTCCCGCCAGAGTTCATTGACTTCAACGATATCCAAACATTGACTAGAGCACACAGCGTTCATTCCTTTATCTCCAATGTAGAATCACCCATCATGTCGCAAGAGACAATTGTGCACTTTGAAGATGACGATATAGCAGAGAGCATAAAATCAACCTTCTCCACACAAGAAGCCCCACCTTCACTGACTGAAAACCATATAGAACTTGCACCAGCACCAGCACCAGCATCAACGAACAAACACAACGATAGCAATGATGCACATTTACCGCCCATCTCTGATTTCAAATTTGTTATACCCACATCTACTGAGAACCTGAACTCTGTCGTCAAACAAGCGCCCAAGCCGGTAACTCGACGCATAAAATCAGAAGGCATCACAGCTGTTGCTCTCAGAACTATCTTACAAGAGACTGAAGCGCACGAGAAATGGGAAAATGCAATGAATGCTCAGTGTAATGTATCTTTATCAGGTTGTCGATGAGAAAGTACCAACCAAAGATTGTGTAGTGGCGACATATGGAAACATAGCTCAGATGTGCAAAGAGAAGGATTCCAATGCGGCTTTATTTTGGATTCTTGACAGCTGGATAGAGGGCAATGTTTTATTCGCCTGGTGTACATGTATGGATGAAGATGATATTGATGAATGGGTATCTGCAAAGAAAGCGGACGAGGAGAAGGAGGAGACTACGGATCCGTCCATGGACTCCACACCCAATGATGCTACGACTACTGCTGCCAACAATGATGCCATCAAAAGCTACCCAGATCAAGAACTGTTGAATAGCATGGACGAAATGCCCGAGGAAAAGTGTTTGTTTGCATTCTCACTTGCCTATATCAAATCTCGAAAATACGCAAAGAAGTTCATAGAAGAAGAGCGAGTAGTGGCAGTTTGGCCTGATGATTGGAGTGAACTACAGATAACATTACCCATAGTTGGTCACTGTATAGCCAAATTGACGAGCAAATTCAAGGCAGACTCCATTTACTAGTGTGCTTATCCCAAGATGCTATACCCCTGTTATTTTCTTGTAAATAAACTGCTGTACATATGTCATGCATCAACACAACTCCATAGGGTGTAATAAATAGTTTTAATTTGAATTCAGGGAAAAGGCTGATGGTTGTTGTAATGAAGCAATGATGTGAATGTGAATAGATGATGTATGATGTGTGTGTGTGTGGGTGCGTGTCCAGAAAATAAATTAAAACTTGTATACCTGATCTTCCATCTTGGAGACAGCTCTTGGTTTCTGGAAGCCGAGTTCATTTGTGGCGGTAGTCAACATCTTTATCATCGGCAATGGTCCACATAATAGCAATTTGACATCTTTTGCTGGTTTTGGGCAGTATTTCTCAATCATTTCCTTCGTCACCAAACCAACCTCTCCATCCCAACTCTCTGATGGTGGTCTTTCGAGGACGTAATGTACTTGAAAATTATCTGGCGATGCCTTTGCGATTTCATCCAATTCCTTTTTCAACAAAATGTCGTCTTCTGTCACATTGGCAAAGATGAGGCTGATCTTTGTTTTGTCTGTCGGATCGTTGCAGACACGTCGGATGATCTGTAGCATAGGTGTGATACCAGTTCCACCTGCAATCATGCCAATTTCTCTGCACATGTTGCTTTTATACACAAAATTTCCTTTGGGACCTCTCATGCCCACTGAATCCCCAACTTTTAATTCACCCATCAATTTCGAAATGTTACCTGTAGGGTAAGACTAAACAAGGTGATACATATTAGATGAGTTTCCGAACATCATGACGAGATATAGACTACCTTGATAACAAGATCAAAATGGCCTCTATCTTCTTCAGGTGTTGTAGGTGTATAGCTTCTCGAGATTCTTTTACCGTTGATTTCAGCCATAATAGCAATGTGCGAGCCCACTGGCAGGCCTAGTACATCGTCAGGTTTTGGTAATTCAAAACGATATCTGTAACATGTAAGTTAAGAGTTCAGCAAATGGGCGATACCTGGAGCTTACTTTGAGGTATTGTGTGATACTGGAATCTTTTCGATAAGCTTGAAGCTCTTGAATACTTTGGGGTTCAATATTTCCCCTAAAATAACGGTTATTATTTTATGTGGTTGCTGCTGTTTGCTCTGCATTACTTTTTGCATTCAGATAAAAGTAGGTTGCCACAATTGCAGCCAACGTGAGGATAACAGGCAACAGTTCTTGGGTAGTTGGCATATTTTAATGAGAGAAGGAAAGAAAAGCCTCAGCTAAACAAAAGAGTAACAAATATCATGCTTTATAATTAAAATCTGTGAGAGTTTTATTGCAAAAAAATAAAATAAAAATCAGATGTTTCTGGTATATCAGTCAATGAAAAATTGTTTCGCGGTTGTTTGAGTCTATTCCACTAGCCTGTATACACTGTTTTTTGACAGCTTGCTACATATACGCATTGATGATAAGGCCATTTAAATACTTGCCATTCGCCTGATCCATAGTGCAGTGCTCTTTGCTAGTTCACCTACATGCGGATGTTTATTTCTGCTGCTTTGATGATTACATCCGACATATATCATCTTTCGTTCCTTGATTTGTGGTGGATATATAGGATGATACCGAATGTAATGTTGTACGAAACCTTCTTTGCAATATAGATATCGACATTTGTTACAGAAATGTCAAATCACTTTATTCTACAAACAAAGTGTTTGCTTCTGCTGTGACAAGGCCGCTTAAATTGGCCTATCAATCTTGATAAAGGTACGCAGAGTCTTAAACACGGAGCAATCAATCTCCAAATTAGCTCAGTAAACAGGATCAAATGGAAACTCATGGTATGAGAAATAAACATCGTGCTCAGATAGATATCCAGAAATATCGAGTTGGCAGCGATAATCAGGAGATATTCTACGTAGAATCCATAAACAGATGCAATGTTATAGTCTCAAGAAAGCTTGATACATGTTGAAACGATACACTGGCTGTGAAACCCAAGCTTTTTGTATAGAAATGAGCTGATTGCTCTGATTTTCAACAGCCATCATGGATTTGTGCCTCGTTACTCGATGTTGTCCTAGCTGCCTCCATAAAAAACCTTAAAAAAGTGATACAACCCACTACTACATGCCTAAATGTCGTGGACATTGATTGCAAATGTAAAAGCGTATTTGGCATCAAATTATCAACCCTACAGCTGTATTTTTCTTATCCTAGCCACAGTTTTCATAGCAACGAATGACTAGAAATAACAGCCGAGTTTGCATCACCATCGAGGCCCACAAAAGCCATGATTTGAGATTCTAGATGTCAAGTAAAAGGAACATCGGTTGCCGGTCACGTATTGAAAAATTTTTCAATGGTATATAAACCAAATGTAGACACGAAATGGCTTTTTTTTTTCTTCTTTATAGCAACAGAGAAGATCTGCACTTGACGTTAATTAATTATACATACTGGAATGTTTATCATTCGATGCAATTTTTACGTTAGGGAAGGTCTCCAGACTATCGTGGCTCTTTTTTCATTAAGAGAGCTATACCTGTAATGGGTATAAAAGATGCGTTGCCTCTGGTTAACGTGCTTTCTCTATCTTTTGGCAAAAACAAAGTTTGAGTTTCAGAAGCTCTAGGGATTGCTATTTCACTGGTCATAGTTATAGTTATTGCGGATACTATTTCTCTTGATCTTTCTTTGTAAAGAACATGAGAATAGTTAACAGAATGGAGACTACTCTCTCAAGTTGCTATCAAACTTTTTTTTTTAAGTCAAATGAAAATGAAAAATATATAAATATGTATATATCAAGCAAATGTTTTATTATTATTATTACATTAAGAGGGGAGGGAGGCCTGTTTACGGTTTAAATTAATTTTTACATGTTAATAAAATGGGAATATTTATAGTTATGAGAAATGCTACAAGTGTTGATTTTAGATAAAAGGGCGAGAGGGATGGAAAGTGGGTGTTAATCGACATCTACATCTGTTGATTCATCTACGTTCTTGATAGTTACTTTTGTTTGTCCCAAAAGTGCTGCCAATCTATCTTTTGAAAGAACAAACGGAGTCCATGTCAACTTTTCTGGATTCACGCGGGCATAGTCCTTCTTTTGCAAGTTGGCAAGGTGATTTTTGATGGCCTGTGAATTGACAACGATAGAGTATTCTCCCTTGACTTTATCGTGCTGAATCATGTTGTTGTTTTGCAGCGTTGATACAATATCATCTGGTGTTAAGCTGGTTGAACTGCTTAGATCTACACACAATGTATGAATAATGTGGTCTACACATGCTGCCTACACGCATCTTACCATCTATACTAATGTAACCTTCCTTATCCTCTAATGCGCGAAACAAGACATTCTTCCAATAGCTTCTGTAGCTGAGCAGGCCAAGATCAGATAGAGGTCTTTCAGGGGTTCCAGTTTTGCTTTCTTTCTTTGATAATAGATAGCTGAAATCAATCAAGAATTGACCATACCCTTTTCTCTGAAAAATAGGCATTGTCAAGATGCAGGACACATTGTAGTTCATGGAGGATCGCTTTTCTTTGGAAAAATACCCCACGAAATGGCATCCTCTTTCATCAGATTCGGTCATGATGTAAAACAAGAATGGCTCCACGTCGTAATAAAGAGTCTTGTGGTCGAGAAACATCTTGGCCATCAAACACAAATTCTGGCAATAAATCTTGTTCTTCCTTCCATCCACTTCAAATATTGAGATATTGCCGTCTCGATAGATTTCATCGCCTGGTGGGTGTCTAACCTTGCACTTTAACTGATGTCTATTGGCAATAAAACTACTCTTCATATACTTCATACAGTACTCGCAGATGTAGAGCGTCGAATTCTGGCTATATTCCTCTGGATAGGGCGCGACATACCATGTGTCAATCAGATAGTCATTGAATGAAATATGGCGAATCTTTGGCACATCTAACATTGGCTCCCATTTACTCGTTTTTTGTGTTGGAATTAGTGGTTGAGATGCGTTTGCTGCCGCCAAAGATTTCTATAAGAGAGAATGTCAGTATACAGGCCAGTAGTGGATTGGGACCTAATTGCTACCTCTGCTTTCGCTCTTGCCTTCTCAAATGCTGCAATATCGGTCTCATTTGGTGTGCCACGGGTTGTGTCTGCCTCGGCTTTGGTCAGCTTATTACCAAATGTCTTGTAAAACAGCTCCTCTTCCTCCAAAGCTTTGTTGTTGACTTTTGGCCTGCCTCTCTTTCGTTTTGCTGATTGAGCAGAGGTCTCCTTGAGACTGAGACGTAGTTTCACGGATTCTGCTGCCATTCTATTGTGGTTTTCATCTTGCAATTTGGACGAAGCCTTTCTTTTTATAGATTTTCGTTTTGGAGTATATTTTGTCATAATTGTTTTAGGCAAAGTGATGCTCTCAATGAACTTGGCTGAGTGAGCTGGTGATTGTCGTAATCTGTAAGATGTTTGTGAGGGAAGGTGATGATGATTTGGCTGATTGTTGTCTGATAATGGCGTCAAGGGCTGATTATAACTGATGGTCGGAGAGGGTAAAGAGGTAGGAGGAGAAGGCATGCTTGAACACTGTTTACAATACCAATCGTCTAAAAATAATATGAGAAACCCCAAGAATAACATAAGTTCCATGTTTCAGCGTATAATGTAGAAAAACGTGTCAGATCAAAAGGAAAATTATTTACCTTTGGGTATATGCTTTAATGGTGGGTCGCAGCAAAATGTATGGTAGCCTCTATCACAATGGTTGCAGATAACAATTTTGCCCTATCCAACAACTATATCAGTACAAAGAGAAGAAATTTTCAATTATTGTCATACTTCGTCATTTTTGGACTGACAAACTAGGCAACTTTTGCAGTCGTTGCATTGCCAATCATATGTCTTCACGATCTCAGCTGAAGTACTATTCATTTCGCAACAAATAGCATGGGCTATTATCATAAACTGGTTAGTGAATTCTGCTGTATTTCTCTATATTCATTGTGAAATTTCTCGCCCTCATGATTTTCATAGCAACAGCAAGAAATTTCTCATCGTAATCCTACCGACCGTTTTGATGGCAATCTGAGCATTTCAATAATTCACGTCTATTCCCCTCTTGATCAAAATCCAAGAAGCCTTTACAGAGTAAACACATACCCAGCGTATACTATTTAGTGGCAACATATTAGAAGCAATCTCTATTGCCAGCCAACGCATTCTTACATCAACCTGGGCATGTTGACGAGTTCTCTTCGTCGTCGTCATATTTATAAGGCTAAGCAATGAATATGGTGTTCGATTTTTTGAAAGGAAATGGAGAAAAAAAAAAAAGCTTTTCATTCCACCCCCCTCTCTCTTTTTTCTTCTCCTGTAAAGCTCCCTTCAACCTGGAATAATCAATCATTTCAACGGAATGAGTCACACAAAAAGGTGGATTTGTAGAGAGCCGTTGTACAATGTAAGGGGATGAGAGCGCGCTCGCGTTGTTGTTTTGTTGTTGAGATCCATTTCGCATTCAGTTCTGCCTGTATCACACACGAATTTCGGCAAGTGCGTGTGTATTAATCACAAACAAAAATAGGGTGAAAAAGTAAATATCCTGTTTCAAGAAGACACATGCATGGGCAGTGTGCTATCTACTGCCTTTTGTCATATTCAATAGGACGCAATGCTCCAAAATTTGCCTACTTTATCAGATCCTGATCGGATATTGATTTGATTTTCTGATCTATCAATTGACAGTAATTTGGTGCTATAGGTGACTATAAGGCAGCACACATCTCATCATGACAACGAAAAAGCCTGTCATTGTTTGTTATGAAATTCTGTAACATCTTTCTTATTTTGACAAAAACAAATCAACACCTGTCCATCACCACAACAAGGCCCTGGAGAATCTTTTTCTCGAATGTTGTCAAGCGTCATGAACTTGTCATTAAAAGTTCGAGATTCTGCTATAAATATCGGCGATTTTCATCCTGCTCATGCTTTCTCTTTGCTATCATAATGTTGCGGTTACCTACATTAGTAAATTTCCCCTTGATTTTCTGGAACAAATACAGAGCGCTGGACGATGAAGAAGAAGCTGAGGGGCTATTAATCTCTAGTGGAGAGGATAAGACATCCATGAAGCATAGGAATCACGGATCAATTACTCCTCCTGCTCCCCCGCCGGTGATCAATGCGATGTCATTTGCCTATCCAAACACAATTGATACCTTCTCCCGGGAGAGAAGCTTGCACTACTATGAGAGATATGGAGAAATTCAGCAGGAATTGCAAGCTATCTCCAGGTTTGCTCTGCCATTGATCGTTACCTTCCTGTTGGGCGTTGGAAACAAGGTAGTTGATGTCTGGTTTTTAGGAAAAGTTGGATCAGAGGCCATGGCAGCCGCAAGTTTGGGCAATCTTTTCACTACGGTAGCAGGCTTATCTGTTGGTATGGGCATTTTAACAGGTAGGACATGGCATTCGTTTGATTACTAGGCACTGACATCACATGAAGCGATCGACACTCTTGTGGCTCAAGCTTTCACAGGAGCAAGTAACCCTCATACTGTAGGCATCATATTGCAAAGAGCATTGGCAATCATGTACATATTTGGTGCTGTTATTACAGCAATATGGTAATCTGCCTATATGATGGCATTGCAGCATGGAATGATAAATCTAATATCTTGCAGGTGCTATTCGGAACGAATTCTCCTTTCCATGGGTCAATCACCTGAACTGGCTAGAAAGACGCATGAATATATCCTCATTTTTATACCCAATATATTCTCGGTCTTTACCATTGTCGCATTAAGAAAATTTTTGCAGGGCCTGGGTAACGTGCAGTTCTATTTAGATAAACTACTGTCTAACAATGCTGATTTTCATAGGTGAGATGAAGGTTACCATGTATCTCATCATGCTTTTATTCCCCATCAACATTGTGTCCAACTACTTTTTCCTCATTTATATGCAGATGGGCATTGCTGGTGCGGCATATCATAATGTCTTTATCACAACTGTCTTGCTGTCAGTCTATATTCTGTTTATCTTTATCTGTACCGACGCTAAAAAGTTCTGGCCGGGATTCACAAAGCAAGCATTTTGCCATTGGGGTGAATTTCTGAAACTAGGTAACAAACAGAGCAATGCGAAAATTCATGCCAAATTAATAATTCAAATGTACAAATTTAGGTATTCCTGGGATGCTGAGTGTCTCTGTGGACTGGGCCTTTGAAGTGTGTGCTATCATCACAGGTGTCCTGGGTCAAACAAGTTTAGCCGCACAATCAGTTGTTATCAGTTGCATCTCGCTCTTCCTCATGATACCAAGGTAGAATATGAAACGGGCAGCATATCAATTTTAACTGACCCTTCGTATAGCGCACTTACCACTGCTCTGGTGGTTCGACTGGGGCATCATCTAGGCGCCAATCAACCCAAAAAGACGAGATTGTGTGTCATGTTAGCTAGTACTGTTGGGCTTGTGTTTGTTTTTATCGACTCAGTCTTGCTGTATGTGAACCGATCAACTATTGCAAACACATTTAGCAAAGATGATCAAGTCGTTGATGCCGTGATTGAGCTGTTGGGTGTTGGCAGTCTTGCTCATTTCGCCATGGTATGTACAAGGGTCCGTTCCATATGTGTAATTGTAACACTCCATTATATAGGGCTTTGGCATCGTACTCTCTGGTACACTCAATGCCTTTGGCAAGCAGCATATTGTGGCATGCTTTAATATAGTGTCATACTATGCTATTGGCTTACCAATTGGCCTTTATCTGACATCAGAACGCGGTTGGGGCTTAATTGGCGTTTGGTTTGGTGTTGTCATTGCGGGTTTACTCAAGTCAACAGCAGAAGCCATTACAATCATATTCTTTATCGATTGGAAAAAGGAGTGTATCATAGCTGCCAAGCGTATTAATAAACAAGAAATCTAGTCTCATTCAAACGCATGAAACGTGCTTTTGCTAAAGTTAGTGGCCTATATCACACCGAATTGACAGAAGAAGCTCGTTGCGTTAATATAATGTAGCCTAGTAGTTCTGTTTTATTCTAAAACTAGCATAAATGAGCATACTCCTAGTAAATATCAAATTTTCAAATGTTAAATGTTTATTATCAGGCGGAAATTGGCCTAGCACTGTGAATTTGGCTTTCCTACAATGCTGCGCATTTTTATCAATGAGATAGATCAGGTAAGAGCAGATAGCATAGCAGCAGTACCGCTTACAACTAGAATATTTGCAATTTACTAACATGTTTGAGCCCTATTTTCTTGTTTTGGAAGCCGTTGTAGACCACCAGAATAACACCAAACAACTGCTCCCATCCAGCACTTTCTCACTGATGCCTTTGCTCAACTTTCTTGGGACCTAAAGAAAAAATACGGCCAAAAGCCATGAGGGTTACCTCATGGATTTCATCGAAAATCAAACGATCGCGTTTTTGATTTTAATAACGAAGACTTTTACTATGGTATGTATTGAATCAAAATGTTTCTATCGATCTAACGCAACCCCTAAAAACATCTTTTTGGGACTTTGATATGTAAAATCTCGACATTTTAGCCAAAAGCCGCTTTTCATATTTTCATAAATTGCTCAATAAGTTTATTCAAAACATCTACGTTACTTGGTACCATTGGATGCGTCTTGAAGAGTACTCCAGCAAAGCATAAGAAAGTTCGGCATGCCTATCATAATTCATATAGTCGAATTTAGAAAAATAGTTCAACGAAGTCGAAAATGAACCAGAAATTTCTATTTGATCAAAAGTTGAGCGGAATATTAAATAATCTTGGCCGGTAAAATCAATGCCACTCTGCTTATGAAGCAAAAGGATTGTAAAGGAAAGGAAGATGATTGATGAGTATCTCACTCGCGTAAGTCTATGGTTTCTCTTTTATTTTAAGTCGTTCTCATATATTTGTTCCAATATATAACAACATAAAATATTGAGCCCACTGCTTGATTGTTATGTTACTATAGTGAACGCAGAGCAAGATGTTGAAGCTGTCGCCTCAACACATCAAGGTTTTTTGATCAACGCATATCAAAAATGCTCCTTGATGACCATGCTGTCTCAGTCAAACATGCATTTATTGGACTACAGAGCGACCAGATTCAAATAAATAGTTGCGGTTTGGCAGGACTTATAATTACAAACATGAATCAGATTCGCGCTAGCATTACGTTTTGCTGTGTAAGCAACACACACTAAATCTCTTCCTTTCCTTGATGATGTGACTCTTTCCCAGAATCTTTTCACATCCGTTTTGATACCTTTTTCACCAACTCACCCTTTTCCTTTTTATTCATCAACACAACACACATACAACGAACGATTATGGGTGGACATAGAGTTTATATTGGTCGACTTGCTCGCGATGCCAACAGACGCGACCTTGAAGATCTCTTCAAGGAGTACGGAAGAATTCTTGATGTTACAGTAAAGAGCGGGTTTGGCTTTGTTGAATTTGCTGATAAAATGGATGCCGAAGATGCTGTTCATGATATTCATGACACCAAGTTTTTGGGTCAAAGGTAACAATTTGGTTTTTACAAAGTCTACAATTGCTCTTCAGAATTAAACTTACCCCTAATTCCATGACCTAGAATTATCGTTGAGCTCGCTATGAGCCGTCGTCGTGGTGAACGTCAAGAAAAGTAAGTCTTTTTCTTGTTGGGATCCAACATTTGGGAAATTGTATCTTGCTGAAAACTGACATTATGTTTCCGTTATTAGTAAGGATACCAACCGCATTATCGTAAAGAACATCCCACCCAAGACCACTTGGCAGGTAAAGCAATCTTCTCTTTTTCTATGCTGCTGTTAGGCTGTGCATTTCTTCCCACCTTCCCTCTTCCCATCCACCATTTCCCAATGGCTCCGTTTTTTTCTTGTATGGCCTTCGCGTCTTCTCTCTTCCTTGGCTGTATAGCTCTCAATTGATTGAGTGGCTCATGCTGTATGCGAAATGAAAGAGAATCGAGTCCCTTTTATACAAGAAAAAAACAGTGAAGATGAGTCCAGTATAACCCCCCGGGTTTGGGTCTTTTGTGCAACTGGTTCTGTTTGTCGTCTACTCTGTTGACCCCGACAAATTTCCTGTGTACCTCATCTTTTGATGAATCTCTCGAGTGTTCTATGGTTTCGTAAATGAAGAAAATAGAATGCAAGGATTCATCAGTGGGTCTTCTGTCTCTCTCTCCTCCTCTAATCCCCTTTTGAAAACGCCTATTATTGTTAAACTGTGAAACTAAATCCAATTCTCTCTCTGCCTCTGATTTGACATCACAAAGGATCTCAAGGATTTCATGCGTAAGGCTGGTCGTGTCACTTTTGCTGACATTCTCAAGGATCGCGAGGGTGAAGGGTAATTTATATTGTATATTAATTTCGTTTTGTCATACGATTGTCTTACATAATCTTTTTATAGTGTTGTTGAATTCGCCAAACGTGATGATATGAAGTATGCACTGAAAGAGCTTGATAATGAAAAGCTGAATGGCACTCGTGTCACTCTTGAAGAGGCTGTAAGTGAGCATGGATACGATGAATTAATACATGGATGCTAACAACGTGTATACAGGGTCGTAGCAGAAGAAGATCGTCTCGTGATCGTAGTAGATCTCCTCGCCGTTCTTCTCGCCGTCGCTCTCGTAGTCGCGACAGCCGCTCACGTTCACGTTCACGTTCTCGTTCTCGTTCTCGCTCTCCTCGTCGCGATCGTTCTGTCTCAAGATCTCGTTCTAGCTCTAGAGGTAGATCTTCTGAACGTCGTGCTGATATCAAGAATGAGGATATGGTCATTGATGTTCCCGTTAAGGATGAAATGTCTCCCAAGGAAGAAAAGCATGATCGCTCACCTAGTCGCTCCAGAAGCCCTAGCCGTCATAGTTCCGAAGGTGATAGAGATTAAGAAGAGAGAGAAAAAGTAAGAAATATTGTCATTTGATAGCAACCACAGTGGTAAATAAAAAAAAAAAGAATTTTGAGCCAAATGTTAAATATAAATCCATAAAACGTGCCCGAAATCCAGTTATAGTTCCTTTATGGAACCATGCCTTGTATAGGTTGTACGCTTTTAATGTGCAGTGCCACAAAGTGTTATTGTACTTTGTGCATTTCATACCCGCTTGTGTTCATTTGAATTTCCACAGATGGACATGTTGAATGCTGTTGATATCCTTCCATCTTTCCTTCTCTCTCTCTCTCTCTTTCTCTTCTTTATCTACAATCCTCTTTTCGTTTCTTTCCTTAAGAACCTTTCCATTCCTTCCCTTACCCACGCCTATTGTTTTATGTATTTTTAGTTTAAAGCGAACGTTTAATATTAGATGACCCAGAGGAAATTTATAAACAGTTTTCTTATTGTACTTGTAATTCTAATATGTATCCAGATACAATTGATTCAAGCAAAGACCACCGAAGCAGAATCAACTAGCACAAAGAAATTGACATCTGTTTCGTCTGCTAGCAAAGTAAATAAACAAAAAAAGCTTAATTACATTGCATTAGAGCAACATATCTAACACTCGATTTTCAGGAACAATCAGCAATCACCAAATCAACTATATCTCTCAAATCAACCACCAAATCAACCACCAAATCAACCACCAAACCTACTCCCACTACCACCAAATCTACCACCAAAGTTGCAGCTAAATCTAAAACTGCAACTCCAACATCTTCAGTTTCTGTATTACAACGTAATGGTTTGGAAAAGGTCATTTCCTCACTTCGAGTTACTACCAAAACTGCGAAAATCACAAGCACAAATTCGAGTGTAACAAAGACAACTTCCAGCCATAGTTCCACTAGTACTACAAAGAAAGAGACCGAGACTTTAACCAAGACCAAGGCAAAGACAGATGATCCCACTCCTACTAAAGACAGTAGATCAGAAACACCCACAAATGAAGCTACCACCAAAAAGAAGGCTTCATCAATAGATGAGTCTAAGCCAACAACGACTGTAAACAAGTCCAACCCTACCAACACGGATGACAAGCCTTCGCCTACTGAATCTGATAAGTTTGGAAACAATGCTTCTTCCACAGATAAGTCCAACCCTACCAAGGCAGCTTCTGATAATGAACCCACCTCTACAACCAAGGGATCCACCAAAACTGCCTCAGAAACAGGACCCACCGAGACAGCTTCTGATGAGCCTACGAAGTCTGTTACAAAGACTGAATCATCGTCTTCTGAAAAGCCTAGCAAGACGGTCTCAGATGGCGAATCTACTTCAATTGAGACGCCCAGCAAGACGGAGACATTTGAGCCTACTCCAACTGGAAAGCCTACCAAGACTAACACAGATGGTGAGCCTACTCCAACTGAAAAGCCTACCAAGACCAACACAGATGGTGAGCCTACTCCAACTGAAAAGCCTACCAAGACCAACACAGATGGTGAGCCTACTCCAACTGAAAAGCCTACCAAGACCAACACAGATGACCAGCCTACTCCAACTGAAAAGCCTACCAAGACTAACACAGATGGTGAGCCCACTGTTTCAACCACTGAAAAGCCTACCGAAACCAACACAGATGGTGAGCCCACTGGTTCAACTACTGAAAAGCCTACCAAGACCAACACAGATGACCAGCCTACTCCAACTGTAAAGCCTACCAAGACTAACACAGATGGTGAGCCCACTGGTTCAACCACTGAAAAGTCTACCGAAACCAATACAGATGACCAGCCTACTCCAACTGTAAAGCCTACCAAGACCAACACAGATGATAATCCTACATCAACAACTGATAAGCCCACCAAGACCAATACAGATGATGAGCCTACTGGCTCAAGCACTGAGAAGTCTACTAAATCAGCTATTGAAAAGGAGTCGCCATCTACCAAAGAATCTACAAAGACTCGCACAGATGAAGAGCCCACGCCTACAGACGATAAATCAACAACCGAAAAGCCAACCAAAACTGCGTCTGGTACAGATGGTGTAGAGACAACTATTGCGTCTACAAAGCCCACCGAATCTATAACATCTGGTAACGAGCATGAAACTAGCATCACTGAAAAGCCTTCCATTACCGAAACCAGCAATGAGGAGACATCTACTCGTTCCGCAAAGCCCACAAAAACTGTTTCTGCTAGTACCGCTGATGGAGAGGAGACAATTACTCCTACTACAAAGCAGAACACTAGTAAACCCACCCCTACTGACAGTGCTACAGAGAGTGAATCAACATCTGCTACCCCAACCGAAACCGAAACAGAAACACAGACAGCTACACCAACAGAGACAGAAACAGAAAGCCATACGGACGATTCAACTGGCACTACTTCTGCTGGTACCACAGAGACCACCAGCAAGACCGAGAGCACCACAGAGACACCTACACCTACGCCTACTACGGACAACAACAGCAACAACAACGATAAGACCATCACGTTCAAAGCAACCTCTACCTATCGTTATCAAACCCTGTCGTGGTTGTCTGATAGTTTCAGTATCTCTATTCCAGCCCCTTCATCCAGCGAACCAACAAAGACGAGTAAACCCACCTCCATTAACACCAGCACGCCCACAGCCACCGCAAATCAAGACACCATTCCAGAGTATATCGCTCCCAACGTCGATGCTATTATTCCAGACACGAGTTCGCTTGTCTTTATGAAGTTCAAGTACATCTCTTACTCTCAAATGGTCCAAGATGCTGTCTTGACTGCCCAATTCGTGCAAACATTGCCAGCATTCTTGAGCAAGAACTTGGGTGTCACTGCTGATGATGTGATTGTGGTTACTATTACCAGCGCAGGTGGATCTACTACCAGCAGCAGTGGTAGCAGCAGTTCCAACAAGAAGCGTGCTCTCTTGAGAAAACGTGAAGATGCTTCAGGTGTTGTTGTTTCCATTGCGATCCCTGCCGATCAAGTCAGTGAGTTGCAAAACTTGATTAGTCAATCCAACTCGAGCCTTTACTCTGATTCCAATGGACAGCTGGCTTCTTTGATTGATGCCTCTTATCCCATCACTGGAAATGGTAAGTTACAACAGCTATTCAGTCTCCCTCCTTCCGACATGCGATGTACATATATTAAATTAATTTATCATTTATAGCTGTGAGCCAAACATCCAACTCCAACAATGTGGTTGATCCCAATGCCAACCATGCCGGATCAAGCAATTCTTCAAACAACGGTAATGCCAATGGTTCTAACAGTGGCGGTTTATCCAAGGCCTCCTTGATTGGCATCTGTGTATCTGTTGGTGTTGTAGTCTATGCTGCTGCTACGATTGCAGTGATCAAAGTCTATCGCAAGAGACGCAATGCCAAAGAAGAAAAGGCAATTGCTGAGCATCAAGTGTTTGCACAAAGCATCTCTGAGCCTGTCATGATGGACAACTCGCTTGGTTGGTCTAATGTTGGTGGATACAACCACCAGAGACAACCTTATCGACGCAATGATAGTGACCATCAATGGTAGCTCTCTTCCCTCCAACTACTCCTTATATTTTTAATAAATTAATATTTATTTTTCATCTGATTTCACAGCAACAGCATTAATCTTCGTCTTCTTCTGTGCCAAAATAACGATCTGTGTGTATTCGGATTAGTCGTTGTGCAGAGATGGTGTATGACTAAGATATTTTACCTCCAAAATTACCAATTCCAGGCTCAATCCAGAGTTTCTCTCTATTGAAATTGGGGTCCACCATAGATGTAACAATCTTTACACGAGGAAATGCATTTGTAATTACGGTAAGACCAATCTGTGCAGCGAGGAAAGACACGAAAATGATACGTTCCTGAATTGTCGAAATATGTAAATTACTATATTCATCGAATTTCCAGCCCGAATTTACCTCTGGCACTTCGTGATCTAGCAGTACACGGATAGCCATCAAAGCAGCTGCTCCAGTGCCCACCATAGCGTCCATCAGGATGATGTCGTAGTCTCCAATTTCTTTGGGCAATTTACAGTAATGAAGCTATGATCACCCCTTGCATGAGTACATTTTTTGTGTGTCATTACATATTGTGTAATAAGACACTCTTACCTCTGGGTCACCAGTATTTGGATCGGTCTGGATCAATAGCTTTCCAATCACAGCATCAGCAAACACTCGCTTTAATCCAGCTTCCATTGTTCCACCAGCACGCAAAATAGAAACACCACAAATCTTGAGGAAACGTTACACTTGTCAATGAAATTTCAGTTTTATCAGGTGTAAGCACTCACCTTTTGACTGAATTTGAGGCCCTGATATGTTGCATTTACAGGTGTGGTTACTGTAACAGGTTCAGATGGAAGACAGCTCACAGCACTATACAATGTCAGTAAACACATGTCCATTGCAGCACACTTTTGAAAACTTACTTTTCCATCAACAACACTGCTAATCGATCAGCATAAAAGATAAACTCGTCTCTAGGTGTCTTGTAATTTCTCAAAATGGTATGGATTCCCTTAATTTGGTTCTTTGCAGGTAAAATAGTAACAGTGTCTGGTAATTGGTCGTTGACAGGTGTATCTAGCAGGCCCCATCTCAGGTTGATCATGTTCTCTTGGAGTTGACTCTGGATGTGCTTTGTCATTAAATCAATGGCAATGGCATTTTCCAAACCCCTTGGAATAATCACATCAGCATGCTTCATAGTAGGTCGAACGTAGTTGTCAAACGAAGGTTTCACGTAGCGAGTGTATTGCTGCACAATGTCGACATTTAGCCCAATTTGTTCCTGCATAAAGTCAAATCAAGACTTACATCTAAAATGCCTTCCACATCACGCCCACGCAGCAAAGTGTCTCTCTGCACTATGAATACAACACGTTAGCACACAACAGAGTGTCTCATGATGGGTATTGATCCATTACATCTTCTTGCCAATTGAATATCAGAATCTGTATCCACAAAAATCTAACCCAAAAAAAAAAAAAAAAAGTTGTTGGTACGACATTTCATGCAAAATGGAAAAAAGCGAGTCCAAGACTTACTCTCATATCCATCATATCTCTAATTCGCTTATCGTATAAAGCGAGAATACCTTCAAAGATAATGACATTGGCGCCATAAATAGTGGTAGTTGCTTCCTCTCTTGAATGTGTAGAAAAGTTGTAAATAGGCACTGTCACTGATTTGCCCTCTTTGAGCTTTATAAGTGTTTCAAACAGCAAGTCGTAATCAAATGCGGAAGGATGATCGAAATCAAATCGGTTTTGGTGTGCTAATTTGCTGTTCTCGGGCGATAAGACATTGTAGAAGGAATCCATCGAGATGATAACAACCCATGGCACATTCAAGTTTTTCAAGATGCGTCTATCATGACACATTTAGCTCCTCTCCCTTTTCTGATCTAATGCACAAGACTTACTCGGCGACACTGGTCTTTCCACTAGCACTGCCACCTATTGTACATCATGATTTAATACGCAATTCTCGACTTGAGAGCATTTTTATTACCTGCAACGCCAATCATGTATGGATTAGCAATGGATCCATCAGCACTTGTGGGCCGTGTTAAAAAAATCGACTAATTGCAATTCATTTACTTACTGGTACCAAGGTCTGATAGTAAAAGATATTAGTAACCCCACTACATATGCTCATGTATCAATCACATTTACTTTCTTCCTTGAGAGTTCAAATGAAGCGTCTTTTTATGATGGTGATTACTGCTCTCACTGCTAGTCATGATGAATGTGTTTTATATATATAAAAAAGAAAAAGAAAAACGGATCGTCTATTACTGTATGCGAAAAAATTTATGTGCCATTCATCAAGTGACCTTTTTTTCTCAGGAACTCACATCAAACTACAGCCATTACAACCGCCAAAGAGCGGCTACGGCTTTGATTCACTGTAGAAATGATTCATTGATAAAGGAAACGTTGCTTTATTCATGATAGCTTGATCTGCTATTTCTTTCATGTTGTTTTTATTGATGTTCCTGACTTCCAAAGGTTTTTAGGAGGACAAGAAGCATGCCACTTGCTACTACGTGGTGGTTCCATGTTCCTCCTTCTCCAGATGTTTCCCTTGCTATCACAGGCAAATTTTGGTGATCTTGCACGACAGATTCTTGCATTCCAGTCAATTCTGAGGGCTTTGCTTGCTTCATTTTTTCTTTCTTTACTTTCTTTTGGTCGACTAAATGCTCATCTAACAAGTAATTGTCGATGAGCTTTGCTTGGCTGTAGCCTTCCCAATTTTAAATGCCTTGGCTATTTGTCCAAATGAGCTACCGAACTTCCAAGCACCAGTTATACGTCCATATTTCTCTGCTTTTAGCTTACTTCCTTTTTGGTTACTGATTCTTAACTGAACCCTGGTACCATCCTTCAAATTCGTGATCATTTATTGTTATTTTGTATATCTGGTAAAACGTTGATAAACCATGCTTAGGTTTGTTTTATTTAAACGAGTGCGTTTATGCTTCGCTTCGGTGAAAACCAACCTGCGCAGCGACAGCTCGGGCTACTGATTGCTCTTGTGCATCTTATCAAAATACTGCTACTTCTATTTTGACCCTCCACTTACACATAAAAAAAACATTTATATTATCTATGGATCTGATTCTTATGTGATGCTCTACATTCATATACACGTAGCTATTTCATATACGGGCAAGGGTCATACAGATATTATCCCTTTTTAGTCAAAAGTGTGCCTAATACAGCAAAATCTGAGTGCATTTGAGCTACGTTTTCTCGCGTTCAAGACCGTTTTAGATGGTCAGAATAGCACCAAACAATTGCTCTCGTCTGGTAGTTGCTTTCTGACACCTTTGCTCAGCTTTTTGGGGACCAGATAAATATGGCCAAAATTCGACCAAAAAGCATGAGGTACCCCTCATGGATTTCATCAAAAATCAAACGATCGCGTTTTTGATTTCAATAATGAAGACTTTTACTATGGTATGTATTGAATCAAAATGTTTCTATCGATCTAACGCAACCCCTAAAAACATCTTTTTGGGACTTTGATATGTAAAATCTCGACATTTTAGCCAGAAACCGCTTTTCATATTTTCATAAATTGCTCAATAAGTTTATTCAGAACATCTATCTTACTTGACACCATTGGATGCGCCTTTAAAAGCACTCCAAGAAAGCTTAATGGGGGCATAGGATGATTATCATATTTTTATAGTCGAATCTGGCAAATAGTTGGATCAAGTCGAAAAGCTATCAAATTTGGCCAATCTAAAGTAGACTAAGAATCTGAGTTAAAATTAATTTTGGCTGGTGGATCCTGCTGGCAAACTCTATGCCCTGTTAATCATGATGGCAATACAGTGATAATAGATGCTTTTGAAGCGTATGGAAAGTAGGTGGAAAATCACATAGCGCCATTGCTAGCCATGCTATTTTCTTGCATTCTATATTTAATAACGCCAGTCTATCCAAATACTTGTCAGACTAACTTTTTTCTTTTTTGAGGCTTTGAGAGTGTCTAAGGACCATAAATTTATTATGTTATGATGAGAGCAAATCGCTCGCGTTTCAATTTAGATCACGGCATAAATAGGCAATATTCCTTCCACTAATATATCAGTCAATTTTGCTCTTTGGCGTAGAACGACTATATCTATCAATTCTACCAAAGTTACTCTTGGTGCTACTTCCTGCTGCACGGTATTTCTAGATAGGAAAGAGATTTAATAAGAAAAATAAAGCTATCTCCCTCTGATAGAAGATACTCACAATATGACCCCTTCCTTTGAATTTGACATTGGGATCAGCGTCAAAACGTCTTCTTTGCTCCCATTCTGGCTTCTCAGATACTCTATCTTTGTATTCCTGATAACGCACTTCCTTTATCTCGTCCTCCTTCTTTCTAGAAGCCTCAATCTCTTGATCGTCATCCGATGATAGTGATCTGGACTTTTTGTGATGTTTCTTGTGCTTTCGATGCTTTTTAGACGATGATTTGTGATGCCTTTTATGCTTTCTTTTCTTTCTGTCGTGATCAGATTCGCCATCCTCTGAAGAACTGATCGAGTTCTTTCTTTTCCTCTTCTTTTCTGCCACTTTTTCTTCCTTTTCTTCTTCATCACTGCTGCTGTGTTCGCTCGCTGATCCGGAATCAGATCCACTCTTGCTTGCTTTTTGCTGTTGCTTCACTGTGTGTATATAGACATTGAGCTTATGATCAATGTGGAACATTCGCACAACTACTTACATTTGACGCCAGGTGGCAGTTGTAATACAAGCTCACCACAATTAGCAATCATGACATTGTGAAGTGGTCTATCGTTGCCATCCACCGGCTCGTTCTCCATGGTCTCCACAATGTTGAATCCAGACACAACACGACCAAAAACAACATGCTTACCGTCTAAATGTGGAGTGGGTCGAGTTGTAATGAAGAATTGTGATGATTGTGTATTGGGCCCTCGGTTAGCCATACTCAACAAGCCGTGGGTGTCATGCTTTCTGGCAAACGATTCATCAGCAAAAGAGGCACCGTAGATGGACTCACCGCCAGCACCATTGCGTCTAGTAAAATCGCCACCTTGACACATGAACCCCTTGATGATGCGATGAAAGATGGATCCCCGGTAATGAAGTGGCACATTGCTCACTTTACCCAATCCCTTTTCACCAGTGCAAAGAGCACGGAAATTCTCTGCTGTCTTGGGCACTTCATCAGCAAAGAGCTCCATGACGATTCTGCCAACTAAACCGTGTCAACAACACTCATCCCATGCGCTTTCAGTGCACTTACTTCTGGTACCATCAATGTCAATGTCGAAAAACACGCGAGGATTGATTTTCATTTTGGATAGTGTTCTGAAAAGAGGATAGAACAAGTAGTACTATTCCACGATTGTTTATGTAATGAGATTGCTTGGTGACTCACTTTTATGTGATAGTTTTACACAAACAAGACAAGTTTGTGTAGCCTTCATAATAGGATAAAACGATCCCTTCTTTTCTCTTTCTCAAGACCCTTTTTTTCCCTCTTTATCATCTTTCAAATGAGTAAATCATCAAAGCAAGTTTCTGTTACAAAACCCAATGCCCTTGAAACCGCATCATTGCATAGCTGGATTGGAGAGAACTCGGGTGTACTTGTAAAGCTGATGGTGTTCACAGCCGCTTTATTTGCTATTCCTATCGTCACATTCTTTACGACTCTTCATAGCTTATTTGATGGTACGTTGAGACTTATTGTGTATATGTGTATGTAAATGCTAATTTTCTATTGATAGGCAATGCTACCTATGCAGGAGGAGCAGCAGCAGTGATGGCAAATGTCATTGTCGGCTTGTACATTGTGGTCGCCATGCTCGAAAAGCCTAGAGATTCTGTAACAGACGAGAAAAAGAAAGACTAGCACTGTAATATAATAGCCCATGTGATCCCTTTATATAGCATATACACTCCCCCCTTTTTTTGCCCCATTCCTTTCCTTTGCCTTCTTCATGTGAAATAATCGCAATAATAAAGTTTATTCAAAAGATGGATCAAGATCAGAATTGCTGACGCTGCTCTTGTTGCTTGCGATGATGAACATATTCATTCATGTAGGTCGTTACTGCTGATATCAAGTCATGGAAACGATCTTCGTGGTAAATGGGGTGATCTTCAGGACACCATGATGCTCGTTTACGCTTCTCCCATTCAGCAAAATTAGTGAGTTGATTGCTAAGAACATCAATCAATCCAGTCCAGTCAATTTGATTCTTGGTCATCGTAATCATACGCTTAGGAGACACCAGCTTGATGCAGTCATCCACCAACGTTACCACAAAGAAAAAGCAGAACAAAGAGCTGATAGTAATTAAAGTAAATGTGCCAATGGTCATGTAGGATGCCATATGGACCAACGATGATCTTTGAGGCGCTGTGTTGTATATCCATGATTTGATGGGATATGTAATTGAGTTGATACTGTAAGCCTCTTCTGCAGACATGATATTGTATTAGTTTTATACAAAGAAAGAAAGAAAGAAAAGAGATGGGGCAAAGCGATTCCTTGTTCAAAACTTGAACCTGAAGAAATCAATGTGAAAGTTTGAGGCGGAGTTTAGCCATTCAGGCATTGAAGTCTTGACATGCTTCCAAACGTAAGCTCCTGATAAGCTCCAGAGCCCCTGATCTATGAGCAAATAGTACAAAACTACAGTTGACATGTTATACTATACGATATGCAGTTTAGTTTAAGCAAGTATGTGCTCAGTGCCTTAGAAAAAAGCCTTTCAGAGATGGACACTTTCATTGTTGAATTCTAGTGTTCTGACATTTGAATAGCGACAGTATTGGAAATCATGCTCGTTGCTTGATCTACCTTTTAATATGGCACTATCATCGCTAGGCATAGATAAAATTACGAGATGAAATTAATATAACTCAGGTACAACAAGATACAACATTTTCATATACATGTTTCAATATGCATTTAAAGCCTGAAACGAATCAAATGTTCAAACGTTCGAATTCTAAATGGAATGGTGCATTATTCCTCAAATGATCTGTATGTAAAGTAATCAAGTATATGATTTTTCATCTAAATGTTTCCAATGAGTGCGTAGTTTTAATTTTGAAATCATCCAATGTTGCTCGGTTCTTTGCAAAAATCCTCACAATTGTTGGTCTTGACAAATTTCCAAGGCCAGTGCTTCAGCTCAAGCCCTCCAAGCAAATCTTTTTGACTATAAAATCAAGAGCATCGTGGCTCTATTCAAAGTGCATAGATCAAACAATAGACTCTATAGAGATGATCAGTGCCTGTCTCTGGATTCTATGTCACTTTCAAGTCAGATGGGATCAAATTGGTAGTGCGCGCTTGAATGAACTCTACCTCCTTTTTTTCTCGTTACGAAAAAATTTTCAGTGCCCTCCTCCTCATCCAACGACGCTATGAAAAGTGCCTTGACATTCAAGACAATCGCAGCTTGCTCCACCACCAAGGCGAGAGTGTCCATTTTAACATTGCCTCATGGACCAGTTGACACACCTGTCTTTATGCCAGTTGGCACTCAAGGCACATTAAAGGGGTTCACTCCCAAACAGATTCAGAATATGAACTGCCAAATCATGTTGAACAACACATACCATCTTGTAAGTTTCTCAAATTTTGGCTTGTCATTGTATGCTGACATGCTGAATTTAGGGTCTCAAACCCGGTCAAGAGATCTTGGACCAAGTAGGAGGCTCTCACAATTTCCAAAACTGGCAAGGAAACCTTCTGACTGACAGTGGTGGATTTCAAATGGTAAAGCAGGGCAACAACAATCCTATCTACCCATGTACTACAGTATGCTTACATGACATTGCAGGTCAGTTTGCTCAAGCTAGCCAAAATCACTGAAGACGGCGTGCAATTTCAATCACCTCACGACGGCTCACTAATGATGTTAACACCTGAACACTCCATGGCCCTTCAAAACAGCATTGGAGCAGATATCATGATGCAATTAGACGACGTTATTTCTTCATTGACAACTGGACCTCGTGTAGAAGAAGCCATGTGGAGATCCATTCGCTGGCTCGATAGATGTATCAAGGCGCACAAAAAACAAGACACACAAAATTTGTTTGCTATTATTCAGGGTGGCCTTAATACCGATCTTCGCAAGAAGTGTGTCGAGGAAATGGTGAAGCGTGACACTCCTGGTTATGCTGTTGGTGGTTTAAGTGGTGGAGAGGAGAAGGATGTTTTCTGGAAAATGTAAGGTGTTTCACAAGCTTGGTAAAATGACAGACGATTGACATTTTGCATGGCATAGTGTGACATTATGTACTGATTTACTGCCAAAGAACAAGCCAATTTACTGCATGGGTGTGGGGTAACTATACGAGCGAGGATGAGGCGTAATGAAGATGTGTACTCATGTCGATAAACCTTAGGTATGCTGAAGATTTGGTTGTGTGTGTTGCATTGGGTGTAGATATGTTTGATTGTGTGTTCCCTACCAGAACAGCTGTAAGTAGTAATATATGAAAGAATGGGCGCAATAGCTGACCATCTATCCACAAACAGAGATTTGGTAATGCCTTGACCATGAACGGCACTGTTTCATTAAAATCCGGTAAATACGCTACTGATTTCGGACCTATTGAGGAGGGATGTGATTGTTCCACTTGCAAAGAGTACACAAGATCCTACGTGCACTTGAATGTGACAACCAAGGATACCGTGGGCTGTCACCTTGTGTCAAATCACAATGTTGCATTCCAACTTCGACTCATGCGTAATATGAGAGAAGCCATTGAAAAAGACGAGTTTCCTGCTTGGATCAAGAAGTTCTTCCATGGTTATTTCGGTGGAGATAAATCTAAATACCCTCAATGGTCTATTAACGCATTGAAGAGTGTTGGTGTAGACTTATTACAAGATTAAAGCATTCATAGAATAAAATATTTATGTGATTTTTTTTTTTCAAGAAACAAGGTGAATGCTTGATCATAACAACAAAGTAGTTCTTACTGCCCCCTTTGAATCATTCGCCATTTTGAGTTGGGTGTTTTGCAGTTCGCATTTGGATGCGCAGCTTGCAACAATTAAATCAATTAAATATAAAATATGTAGCCAAAGCAGCAGAAGCTATCCAGGCTATACTATAATGCTTTCTAAATTGCAATCTTCTCCATATTAGCATCACCAACATCAATAGTCTTTATTAAAAGAGCCCCTTTAGTTAGGCAGCAGAAGCAAACGCATATTCAAACGTCAATTCGCTTCTGCTTCATATTGGATAGAATTTGATTAGAAACGACCTGTTTGATCTGTTTTTTAAAATTCGACTACATGTACTGTGATTATGATCATTCCATTCTCCCTTAGGCTTTCTTCGTGTACTTTTCTAGACTAATTCAATGGTGCTAATTAAAATGTGTGCTTTGACTGAACATTCTGAATGATGCTAGAAAATATGAAATAACTATTATGGCCAAAATGTCGAGACTTTACATATCAAGGTTTTATGAAAGTATTTTTAGGGGTTGCTTTGGGTCAATATATAGCATCAATTTGAATTAATATCATAGCAAAATAAATGTTCAGTCCCTAGACACTTTCAAAGGCTCAAAAAGGAAAGAAGTTGATCTGACAAGTACTTTGGTAGACTGACGCTATTAAATATAGAATGCAAGGAAATAGCATTGCTAGCAATAGCGCTATGTGATTTTCTACCTACTTTCCATACGCTTCAAAAGCATCTATTATCACTGTATTGCCATCATGATTAACAGGGCATAGAGTTTGCCAGCAGGATCCACCAACCAAAATTAATTTTAACTCAGACTCTTAGTCTACTTTAGATTGGCCAAATTTGATAGCTTTTCGACTTGATCCAACTATTTGCCAGATTCGACTATAAAAATATGATAATCATCCTATGCCCCCATTAAGCTTTCTTGGAGTGCTTTTAAAGGCGCATCCAATGGTGCCAAGTAAGATAGATGTTCTGAATAAACTTATTGAGCAATTTATGAAAATATGAAAAGCGGTTTCTGGCCAAAATGTCGAGATTTTACATATCAAAGTCCCAAAAAGATGTTTTTAGGGGTTGCGTTAGATCGATAGAAACATTTTGATTCAATACATACCATAGTAAAAGTCTTTATTATTAAAATCAAAAACGCGATCGTTTGATTTTTGATGAAATCCATGAGGGGTACCTCATGCTTTTTGGTCGAATTTTAGCCATATTTTTTTGGTCCCCAAAAAGCTGAGCAAAGGTGTCAGAAAGCAACTACAAGACGAGAGCAATTGTGTGGCGCTATTCTTGTGGTCCGAAACAGCTTCTAGTGCGAGAAATCATGACTCAAATGAACTCAACTTTGCTTTGTTTTACATAAATTTGAGTAATTAAAGGTGTCGCCGATATGTTACCCAAGGTACACCGAGAATCATGGATTGGCTGACAGCAACGGTCAAGTATCTCTTAAATCTAGGTTCTTGGATGTGAAGTCTTCAAATTGCTCGATGTCATCTACAAGGATAGACTGATGCCCGACGAGAATACGGGTACTTTGATTCCTATTTTTAGCTTAAAAGGCAAGCTTCGGTGAAAAGTAGGAGAACACTATGTCCAACCTCTATGATAATAATTGATGTCCTCTACAAGAATGATCTTCTCCTTATTATTACATAGCTCATCAGCGCTATTATCAGTATAAATACCAGATCAACCAAATTTTTTGAGCTATTTTGGTAGCCAAGCTATCGTTATTTCTCCACTCATTACTCATTTCATGTTGAAGGATGATTGTCTTGTTCATTTTAAAGGGTTTCTCATAAGTAATTCACTAAATCTTCACTGTGCCAAGATAGAGTGCAATGCCAATTTGTACCTGACTTGTTAAGTCATCTTAATCGTAGCTTCAAGACAGTCCAACATGACTTGTCACCAAGTGGAGTTGTAACCGACGGATGACTAGGGCTATACCTTGGAACCTTCACGCGTGGGCTTTTCTCTATTCCGTTCTGATTTCTCTTTTGATTTCTCTTTGAATTTCGAATTGAATTTCGCTTTGAAAGTAGCATGATGCTATAGCGAAATGTTGCGAGAAAAACGACAGTGTAATTGGATTTCAGGTTGGATGGGCTGTTGTTGCTGATGACTGACGAGAAATTGGCGATTTTCTAAATAAGCCAATGTTAAACCATGACCTTCATTCATACATAAGCAAAATGCTAGAGTTGCATTCATCATTAAAACGTTGGCATAGGAAATGATCATGACAGAACGGAGGCTGCTTTGTGTTTCTGAGATGCTCATGAAACATTCATTACTGAATTGACCCATTGGTTATCTTTAAATTGCGAATCATCTTCCAGACATCAATGTGAAATATCTCTTCTACAAAAAGACACGAAACAAACAGCCCAGCTCAGTATTGTTAGACTTGGAGGCTACTAACCTATGAATTACAAGTGATTACGAGTGTAAGAACGATGGATGCGATATTGGGAAACGTTATATTCAAAACCGTTTGATGATATCTTGTTGCTTCATTATTGTGGTTTGGCAAAGGCTTTAAGCTACGCTGTGTATTTTACCAAGAACGGGGAGCAGCTTTTTTCACGCCCTATGTAGCGGTAGATGCTAAAAAGGACTTCTTGTCAGGAAGATTATAAGCCCATTTTGAGGGGTTGCTAAACATATAAGGGGAATATCATCAATCGCTCTATTGGTTGTTGTTAAATAATCAAGTGAGGAAAGTGTAAATTAAACCAACAATATAAAAAGACTAGTGTTTCGACGCTATAAACCGTACAGCTGCCAACTACTACTCACCCAGGCTTCTCTATTGATTAAATTTTCTGCCTGAATGTCGTAAAATACAGAATTTTGAGAAATATCATAAAGGAAGCGCTCATTTGAGACTTGAAACTTTTACATTATAATAGATACAAAATAAAGCTATTAAATGGTCTTTGTTTCATCTGAATACGATGCATCTTTCATGAGATATGGCCAAAAGTTCCCTCGTGCAAAATCATTGATTTTTGGCCAGAATTTACCTATAGTAGCAAGGTGAGAATCTAGATGACAATTTCTTTGTGATACAAAATTGTTGGTATCTTGTTGTGCCAGAAGGGCTACAACTGTCTTTAAAGATTAAGGTATTCTTGATGGGTAGATATGTCTGTGTTGTGCAACAACATGGACAAGCTATGATAAGTGAAGTGCATCTCAGCTATCTAAATACTGAGGTTCACCAGATGTGATAAGCGTTGTACAAGATAAATTGCTACTTTGGCATTCAGAACTTAGTATAAATAGAATAACTCTTGTCTTCATCAATAAATCTTTAGTTTTTGTGTCTGATCTTATTCAAATAAGTCTTTTCTTGTTTTTATAATATCGAACATTTTTTATAAGCTACAAATAATAATCCTTTTATTCTTTGTGCTTAACAGAAATTACTGTAGTCGCGCATTTCCAAAAGGGAGACCTGAGCCTTCTCAGAAGTAGAATAAAAGCGTTTATCACTTAGATATTGATTTTCGTACAATGCAGAACATTGGGATCATCAGATAGAACCGTGATTTACTGACTCCCTTGGCAACACAACATACTACGCCTTATTTTTGGCCAAATTCTCTCCAAATTTAGACATTTTGAAGCACGAATAACTCATGCTACAAAGCGTTGTAGAAGCTCGGAATAGGGCCAAACGTTTCTCCTTGCCCACGCTTTACTTACTGATGCTTTATTTCAAAATGTTTTAGGTCGTTGCAAATTCATGAAAATCCTCATGATTTTCATGTGCACTAGTAAGGAAAAATTCTTGAAAATCGAACGATCGCGTTTTTTACCCAAAAAATGACGGCTTTTTCTATAATATATATCGAATCAAATTGATAGTAAAGATGCAACACAACACTAGAAGCTGTTTATATGAGACTTTTATATGCTAGATTTTGACATATTCACAGAAAACCTGTTTTCATATTTTTGAAAAATGCTCATTATTTTCGGTCTAAAAGCTGCATGTAATCAGCACCATTCGATGCGGCTTTTTCAGTTCTCTAAAGATGTATTATAACGTTGGATGTGACAACGATAGGTTTCATAGTTAAATTGGCAAAAACGTTCAAAGGATGTCAAATCAAGTCAAGTTTGAAGGCGAAATTACCCACTGCACAATTGCAAATTAAACTGCAGCAGTTACGGCTACCACGACGGCAGAATACTGGGACCAAATCTACTGGCTGTGACGTCGAATAGGGCGCTCTCTCATTTTTCCATATCCTCCTTTTTTCTTACCCTTTTTGCAAAACGCGTTTAATATCAAACCACATTGGTTTTGGAACCCTTTTGATTGAAAGTAACACTCTAGCTTCTGATAACGCGGTCTTGTACTGTTAAAAGCACTTGATACTGCTTCTTTTAAGTGGAATATAGCAGGTACCGTTCGACAACGAGCACAGAAAGACGTAGAACAAGCACTAATCGAATTTGTTTATTAGGGTTCGATTTTTTTCTTACCTGTTTGCCGTGGGCGCTGCTACCATTATTTCTTTGCTATCTCTGCTGTTTGCTTCTATGGTCTATTATGTCTGGTAACTGCTTCTTTGGTCTTCATCTCTGGCAGTTGCTTTGTTAGTCTTTGTCTGGTCTCTGGTGTCACTCGTTCTTCGGGTTTTCTACCCTGCTGGTGTTGCTGTTGCTGCTGGTATTGCTGCTGCTGTTGTTGTTGATGTTGTTGATAATCTGATGTTTCCTGGTCTCCTGTCTTCGCTGTATGCTAGTTCTCTGGTCTATCTCTGGTGATTGCCTATACTCTTCTGGTTTATCCGTGGCTGTGATAGGTTTAGTAAGCAACTTCTTTGGTCTTTAACTAGTCTCTGTTGGTGGTGTTCGTTCTTTGGTTTCTCTATGGTGCTGG